GGATTTGTGAAAATGTCTATTTGCGGCTATCCCAGATTCCTGCTTTGTTCAAAAATGTGAATTTTCATCGTCAGTTCGAAATAGAGTTCATGTTTTGTAATTCTCGTATAACCATCGGAAAGACTCTCTTATCAAAACTTAAAACAAAGCGAAATGCCCACAACCAAAAACAAAACATCTCCTGTATATGTCAGCATTGCTGTCATTTTCGTAATTTGATCTTGTCGAAGATAAAACATTCAGTAATAATTTATCAGTTGCCCTATCATGCTCTGGGCATCTAGCAGAAGCTCACTTAACTTAACTAAAAGAAAGATAAAGAGCCTAATAAAACTTTTAGTTAATAGATCACCTTTCTTCAAACAGACCCAACAACCTCTGTAATGTATCGGTCGTAAAAATCGGTATCACAGACCACTATATGACATACGGCATTAGAAAACTAAACGCTAGAGTTCATGTCAATGACGTGAAATTTAAGACAGAGTCACGCAGTTTGAAAAATTATGACCGTGATTCTTTCCTTAATGACTTGCGGAGTATTGACTGGGAGATGGCTATGTCATGTAGATCGGATGACCCTAATACGATGGCTAGCAATTTCTACGATCTCTTTCTCGCTGTCTTGGATGTGCATGCCCCGTTGAAAAAAAGGACCGCTAAGACGGGGCATGCACATGTACCATGGATTTCTCCAAGCATCAAAAATTTGACGTGCGAGAGACACCATATTAAGAGACGGGCTGAGAGAGATCCAGCACTATGGGCAAGATATAAGCAGCTTCGAAACCAGGGGCGGTCTGGCGTCAAAATCGCAGGGTGGCTAGAAAACTCAAGGGGCCGGTTTAGGGCGTGGCGGGAAAATTGAGCCACATTCACTAAAAATGTGGCTTAGAATACGATTGATTCAATAAAAATTGATAATAAAGCAATACGCTAAACAGCAGCAGTATATCGACTTTAATTCGTAAATTCGGACCCAATTGGATCCATACCTTTCCTCTCGTGTAAACAGGCTTTAAATCCCATATAGAGTTAAGAATCAAGATCAAAACTTATTTAAATTCTCAGAGTTTCAACTCTTTTCGAAGAAGTGCAAATGAATCAGCAAATTGACCAATGACTTGCTCGTAATCAAATGGAAAGTTTTCTCTTCTTTTGAAATTATCATTAGCGCTGAATAACCTTTCAAAGGAAAATTGGGTGCAGCCAAGTGTCATCAAGCATTTATACGCGTTGTAGAGGGAAGGGTATGCTGCTAGGTGCGTGTTGTATTCACTATTTTTTTTATAAAAACCAGTAAATTTAGGTTCAGGCTGACTGTTCTTAATTTTCGCAAAAATCCAAAGGGTGGATTGTCCTTAATTCGTCTTAAATTAATAGGGTGTAATCAGTGCAATTGCTAGCTTTTTCGCTCTTGGGAGGTGTTCAGGCATTATTTGCCAACAAAGTGAGTGAGACAGCCTTCATTTGACCACAAGATTGAATATTCAGCCTCCCAATATGCATTAAACAGTAACTCAGCCTCAGCTTGTTCCTAATTTGAACTCAACTTTTGACCAGTTTTGATGCTCATATTCTTATAAAATTGTTATATTTGATAAAAGATATAATTATATAAAAAAAATGAGCGTCGGTACAAAGTTTTGAATGCGCAGGGTATGCACAGTTGCCAAGCTTTTACCCTTTTGATAAAGGGTGTCGACTTTGGGATCCTTTCTCTCTTTGTGAATCCCCAGCTTGAAAGTCACAGTTTTCCTCTCCATATGTTTCTTCTCTAAGAGCTTGTTCCTTGAGATCATCTCTTTTCAGGATCTCTATTTCCACCAGTTGTTGTTTTCACTTGGTCGATAAGCTGCTGGTATCAATTTGCAAATGCCAGCAATTCTGACATTCTATGAACTTGAAATCTTGAAAAAAGGCTCGTATTGCTGTTTTGCTTCCTCTTTGTGCCAACAAATCTTCTTAGCATTGTCAAATCCTGATACAGATCTCTGTAACCAGATGATAGTGACGACCCCTTGTCATCTCTCTTTATTTACTGAAGCCCCCTCCCAATAATTGCAGCCTAAGCCTTATGTCCTGTATAACAGTGTACTAAGTGGAAATAAATACAATGAGCAGCCGCCCCCCCCCAATATGAATTTCGTTCTCACAGTACTGTCTCTAACAGTCAAATACCCTGGGCATCAGAGCCATATAAATTAGAGAGCGGAAATAGAAGATAAGACTACGCTCATTCGCTTCTCTGCTTGGCATTCTGTTTACGCGCTCGAAATTTTGTGGCTCTGGGACCCAGGGTACACGTAACATTGAACACTAAAATAACGAAAACCAGGGTTTGGGTGGTTTGAAGCGCATGTATTTGACTTTAAGTTAAAAAATTTTCTCCAACGCGGAAAGGCCCGTAAATTTTTTGTACACAGGGCCCGGGTGGCGATCGCAACTTTGCCACCCGGGCCAGACCGCCCCTGACCACACTCGTTGCTTGTAATTATTCTTCAGCACAATGCGTCCCTCCCCGTATCTTTAGGCCTGTAAAATACCTTCGGGGTACACTTTCGCGACAAAGATTTCTAATTTGGCCTTACCAAAAGGAAAGAAATTTGATTCATATCAAATTTCTTTTTCTACAAATTCAATTTGACAAACCAAATATCAAACATTCGCACTGTCCTACTCATGCCATATTAGGTTCTAAACGACAGACAGAAAAATTCAAGAATTATTAGATAATAGACTTAAAAAGTTTTTTCTAATCTATATGAAGATAAAAATTGCAAACACATACTTTTTCAATTCATAAAAACACGACAAGCAACTGCCATATTCCCCCGTAACTGCGTAAACTAAAAGAGCCATAATTTTTAAAATTCTCTTTAAAAACCCCAAAAAATTGTTATGCGTTGTTGATTTATATCTCCTCTAACTACCTGCATCAGAAAAGGCACTGAAATAGTTGTGAGCCACGAGAAAATCATTCATTAAAACAAGCCATTTTCCCTACTGAACCTTATTGCAGCTCGCTTTTTGCCACTATTTAAAATGGTGGAAGTTAACAAATTTGCCTCACTTGGCAGTACGCAGCATGACCCGAGTTAGACATATAGCGCGGTGTCATATGCGTTTTGGTACCCTATGCAAAATTGTAACATTGTGAAACGCAATGTGTTTCAAATCAAGTGATTTCATCGTAGTTCGATATTATGACACATTATAATTAACAAATAGAACACAGTGCTCTTTTTCTTCAAAATTTCACACTTTTTAATCAAGAAAACTTTGGAGTCGCCATTAATGTTGTACTTTTTTGCATAAACTTAACAAGGGAAATCACAGCACCGCTTCTTGTTAGTACCCCCTTGTTAAAAATAGTTCGATTGTTCTTTACATTCTGAACATTATGAATCAGAAAATTTGTGTTCCCAGACCAGGTCGCATGCTAAATTCCACCATTTGTTTCAGTTCCCTGTTTTTTAAAAGATTGGGTACGTTTTTGTATAAGCAAAATTGTTATGGGTTTCTGTACCAGGACCGTTTTGCATGCGAAATTCCAAGTTCGTTTTGGTACCCTATTGTTTAAGTGCTTGGGTACGATTTTGCATAACCAAAATTGCCATGCGTTTGAGTACCCGGACCGAAATGCATAAGGTTACCGAAACGCATATGACACCGGCGCCTTCGGCGCTAGTGCAGCTGAGGCAAAATCACTCAAGCGGAATATTGGCAAAAAGACGTTTCCGCGTAAGGGCATAGTACGGGAAATTGCAAGGTGGACGAAGGAAAATCAATATTTTCGAAAATCGGCATAAATTTGAGAGGTAAGCTATACTGTATCAGCATGCTATATTCTTTGGAAGGTTTTAAGCTATAAGTTGTTTTGGTAAACGGGGTTTTAAGATTTTTAAAAAATTTTAAAAAATACTTTATTTTGTGAAATGTGGTGGTTGTTCTGCCCCCCCCCCCAAACAAAAAGTTGTATCTCGGTCCTTGGGTAGGAGCAGCGGGGAGAATCAAGACCTAATTGATAGCTTATTGTTACAGATAAGAGTAAGGACTGTTATAAATACAAAGCATGAATTGATCTGAACTTGATACTTAAGGCCTGCCAATGCCCCAACATTTTACTTTGAGCAAAAGTTGTCTATTTTCTGTCGGGTACGTATCAATGTTACAAACACATTCTTTCCCAAAGCAAGCCCAAGTCTTCACAGACTCGTTGCTATTGTTTTAAGATATGCCTTAAGAGGGCGATTTCGGTTCTCTTTATTGCACAAACTCATTTAGTCATCTTTGTGGGTTAAATAGCATTACCATAATGGGACTGCATGTTCTGGTGTACCTGAAATAAGCTCATTATTATTTATTGGCCAATTCATCAACTTCTACTAGAAAGAACTTATTATACACCAATTGATCTCATAAGCGACAAGGGTATTCTTTGAGTACTACTGTTCTTAATGCAGCGGCAATCTTAATTACCAATTGTTTCTTAAGAATTTCTTCATTGTGATGTCGTTGCATTTTGCATTTTTGGTTCTAGATGTAATTTTCTTTTGAAGTTTGTTGTAAAGAATTTGCGAGTCATTTGAAGAATGTGAATTGCAAGCGTATAAAGTTTCGACCCAACCAGTCAATCTCATTGATACCAAATCATAGAGTTTTGGAGTTCTGCAATTTTTCAATATTAAATTATTTCTAATCATTTTGGTTTGGGAACTGAAGGTTCTTGCTTTTTACTGATATTCAGTACCCCTGTTCAGGTCAGGGAGAACACGTTCCCCAGTTCTCAGCAGAATTAATTTTGTAATTCGTCTAAATTCGATGAGATAATGTTGGGGAGGGGTAATATTTTGACACCGTACTTTTTGTGATGTATTCCTATGATTTTCAAACTGCCAATTTTCAAACAAAAGTTAATCATAGGCGTTTTCTTTGGATAAAATTGGCGTTCCCTGTTGGTAAAAGGGCGTTTTCTGGTAGTTAAAAGGGCTTGGCTTAAATTTTTTGGTTTGTCCCCCCCAGAGCTTAGTGGCTGGCGCCGCCATTGCCCTAGGGGAAGGCGAATATTTGATAAAAATGAATGAAACATTCAGCAAAACGTTACACAAGTTATCTATGGCAGAAAACATTGATGGCTGTCAAAATGAAATGACTGTAATTCCCTTCAAGCAAACTTTGTATGAATAGTTCTGCACGTCGTTCTCACTGCCATTTTATTTTCTAGCAAGCCTGGCGGACAATTACTCTAAAAATGAAACTGCCTGAAAATTGTAGTAGCTTGTTACATGTATAAAGCTAAATTTTTATTACTTGTAGCAGGATTGAATGCAAAGGAAACTTTATGTACAGTATGTGCATGTACAGTCTGAAGTTTCTCAATTCAGGAGAAAGGCTTAGTCAAGGATGAAACTTTTGCAGTTTTATTTAGTCTGATTTGGTACACTTATTTAAGGCATAAAAAGTTACCGTATTTACAACAAAGGATGCAAGATAAAAAGGATTATTTTTTAATAATCAAAATTATCTTACTTACCTCCTTATGAAATTTAGTATTTTCTAATGAAGAAATTTGTATTTTCTAAAGCTAGCATGCTACCCTATACCTTCTCCAAAAAGCATTATGTATTTCATTTCATCTCTTGCCCATGGATGCGTCTTAACTTCCTTTTAGTAAGTCCTTTGTTTTCTTAAAATCAAGCTAGACTTGAAATTCAACGAGAAAACGCATTCATCAAGAAGAAAAATTGAACCTGTTCTCTAACAAGGCGTTAAAACATTTTTGTTTCTTCTAATCTTTTTACCTGTTAAGGTTCTATTTAGCTTTTGATCTTTTGGCACTCTGTTAACAGGGATGGAAATATGATCCGATTTCAGTATGACCTGCCTATAAAGTGCAAAGTTTGTGAGCCCAGAAATTGTATTCAAATGAAAATCTTAGTTAGTGACCTGGGCCTTCCTAATTTTGTAAATCTAGCTGCGCTCTAATTATTATTTTTTGCGAGGATTTAGAATATATGTTCAAAACTAAATTGTTCTGAATACAAAATTCACTGAAACTTTTCTGTTTTTCTAAGCTATTCTGTGCATTAAATGGCAGTTTCTTTTGATAATTGGAATTCTCTTTGCAGCTCCTCCTTATTTGACAGATCGTAGAACACTGCATTAGAGTTTCTAAATCCTCCATTATCTGTCTTCTTGTGTGATCCGAGGTCAACAAAAAGTTCCTTATTTTCTTCAGCATCGCCTTCTGCAAGATTCATGTTCGACCCCTGTTTACTTTGGTATAACACAAAACTAACGAATCCTTTATCGCTCAATTTAGGTATTTCTTGAGGCGAAACATCATTTAGTCTGCAATATCCCACTGATGGATTGTTGTTTGATAAAGCAAGTTGGTGAGGTTCTGAAAACTTCACAGATCGGTTTTCCTCCAGTTTTCTTTTCCCTCGGTCTTTCGGTGCATTTGGAGGCAGCCATTTATGATTGTTCGCATGAGCGTGTTTGTCTCCTTTGCCTGTTGACATCTTTGACAGATTTGTCTTGTCTTGGCTATCGTTGCTTGATCCGAGGCCTAAGGCCTTTTTGAAGCCTTTTTTAAAGTATTTATCTACACTACCATATATGAAAGGATTCAGGCAACTGTTGAACCAAATAAGGACATGAAAATACTGTAGCATCGTGGAAATTGTCAGAGGATCGATTTTCACGTTTGCATAGCCAAAAATGAAGAATATCACATTGCTAGGCAAGAAACAGAGCGCAAAACTCACAACTAGAATCACTGTCATTTTCAAGAACCTTTTATGGTTGGCGATTTCTCTTTGAGAGCCAGTACTGCTCTGTGTTTTGAGTTCAACAATGATTCTGAGATAAGTCACAAATATAAAGCTAAGTGGTAGTGCGTAATTTATCAAGAATAGCACTATCGTGTACCAGTGATCTATTCCAATTTCTTGGCATTGTTTATCCCTCCCTATTTTATACGCAATGAATGAAGGCAGAGCGATTATGAATGACCATATCCAGACGGCAACAACTTTGAACCGAACGCTTCTCGAAGTCGATCGAGGCTTTAGAGGGTGCACAATGGCCAGAAATCGTTCGAATGTGATCACGGTGAGAGTCCATATGCTCGCTGAAACAACCATGATTTGCAACGTTGGGAAAAGTTTGCATAGAAAAAGGCCCATCACCCACGGACCAGGCATTATGTAGTAAAGCAGAGTCGTTGGGAGGCAAACAAGACCTACCAACAGATCAGATATACTGAGATTCATGATGTAGTAGCCATAATAATAATTCTTAATGCTTGTCAAGTTGCGATTATTCCTCACAACATGGATTGTTAGACTGTTGCCAATTATGATTAAAACGAATATCAATGCAATCAAAAAGTATCGAAAAATCAACGATCCTTGTGATTCACGTCTCTGATCAAAACCTGTCGTCTTATTCCGTTTAGTTGAATCTAAAGACGTTACAGTGAGATTGGCACAAAGATTGACCAGGGTTTCATTCCATAAAGTATGGTTAAGATCCAATTTGCATAAAGTACGATTTAAGGATACAGAACCGTTGATATTTGTACCGTAGTCACCACGAGTCATTTTCTCGTCTTTGCTTTGCATCCAAAACACGAATCTAAAACCAGAAAAAAATGCTTTTGAATACATAAGGTTTCTGGAAAATTTCATTGAAATACCCAAGCAATACAAAAACATTCATTTATGTCCAAGGTAAGTTATTTTCAATGTGATATACTTTAGAACAGAACCGAATAACCTCTTCAATTTCTGCTCATAAATATTTGCCTTTATTTCATACATATATGAATAACTTTAACTTACAAATACTTTCTGATAGGCTCATTGTAATGTTGTGTGTGGAACAATTTTCTAAATTTGAGAAGTAGGTTTATGAAAATCTTGTGAAAATAACAACTCCAAAAATCCTGTGAAAATAACAACTGTCGATGGTTAGTATTTGCTTAATAATGATCTTTGATATAAAGTGAAATTAAAAATGCCTAACTTTTCGTGTAAGCAAGAAAAAGAAAAGCATTTTTATGACAAGGTTTGTCTTACGACTCTGCGTACTGCTGGCGAGCTTTATTTTACACTTTAACGCAGCTCTGTATCTTTACGTCTGTTGTATAAATCTATGGAAGGCTTTTGTTGATGAACTAAATTTTCTTGAAGAGCCTATTGTAGTAACAGGTTGTAAGGGTTGCGTTTAAAAAGCCCAGAATCACTTCAGGCTTGCTACAAGGCTGAGTTGATCCAACAATTTGCCCATCCCTGTCCTCAAGCATAGATATTTGAATATCTCGAGACGCTGCGAGATAGGCACAAATAGACCGCTCGAAAACAAAACATCAATGCTATGCTCGCCTTATTTAAAGTGTAAAAAATCTTATCAATTCTGATAAACATGATTTATTTCATCGTTTCAGTCAAGGAAACAGGAAAAGCAAGAGCTGCATGTACCCTTTATGGTCTCGTTTTTGCACTGGTCGCAGTTGTCATCACAGCCCGTGTAATGAAGTAAAAATATAGTGTTTTGATTTCCTTTTGCAAAATTTACCCTTGAAAATACTAAATATTGATACCATCAGAATAAGCAGCCTAGCAGCACATACAGGATCAATTTTAAATTTCTTAGATTTTCACGAGCATTACGATAACTCAGTAAAAGAAACAAAATAAACTATGGAAAAAATATTTAAAAGCACATACTTTGACTCCAATGGCAAATCTGATTGATATCAACGGAACGATGAGATGAAGTCGTAAAATAATCAACAGTCTATTTCATGACTCCTTTCAGACCCAGTTCAGACCACACAGTTCGAGATTTGTGCCTTCTTAACAAATGTGCGAAATTCCAGCAAAGTTGATCTATAACCCTCCCTTCCACTTTGGTCTTTCATTATTTGTTCAAAATAAACACCTCGTTTTCAATGCAAACCACAATAAACAAACTACCTTCAAGAACCACAGACTGTATCAAGTCCTCTCTTGCATGTAAAGGGGTGTGTTTTCGAGGTTTTGTCTAGTGCATACGTAATACTTGGGCAGATGGTCTTTTCATCCTCTATTGGTATATGAGAGGCCTCGGACATTTTCAATAAACCATTTTTCAATACAGGTCTTAAAAGGCTTTAAAGGTATCTCTAATGTAAGACATCTAAGTCTCCAGTGTAATGACTTTTATCACTGGTGCATTGACTTTGATAGTATCATCTTCTGTTATGAACGGAAGGGCTTGACCAACAGCAGGATAATCTTCAATGTCGGATTTTTTATAGATACCTATTGCAATGTGCTTCATAATTGCAGTGCATCAATTGGGCCTTGTGAAGCCCTCAATACACGAAGTTGAAGTACAAACATACTGAAGGCACGAAATCCTTTAACGGGTTTCCGATGAACTTCGATTTATTAAACTGGGTTTTATAAAAGCCTTATCGAAATTCTAAATCCTTTTCGAGTAAGAAATAAAACGGCGCTTAAATTGAGCTTTATCTGAATGTCGAATTTACTTTAAGAATCAAGTCTGTTGTCTTCGGATTGAATTAAAAGTACCAACAAAATCTGTAAACATCGTCAACGTACTTGCACACATCAATGCTTAGTAAGTGTTTAGTTTAAAAAACTTTGAATCTTTGTTTAGATAAGTAACAATGTAAATAAACCATATCTTTAAAGAACTGCATCCCTGAATTATGAGTTTTTGTTCATTTTGAATTAGCTAATCAGTCAAAGACAACAATAGATATTTCTTCATATCAAACGAGAATGGAACGAATGACATGGTTGTGTGTTGTAGGAAGAAAGATCTTTGAGGGTACAAAAAATCTTGGATATTTCATTGACTGTACCCTGCTGCTTTTGACAATTTTTATTGATTAGAATTATTGATGAATTTAGGTGCTCTCCACAAGAGGTCGTTATGTATGTCAGTTCAATTACTGTTCTTTATTTTCAATTCAGAGAAAGATGATCAAGCAAAGCTCTTCTATTGCAACAGCTCAAAGTATGACTTCGAACAATTACCCAGAAAGTAAGTGCGAATTTCTATCCACGTGTAGATAGAAAAAGATGAACAATAACTTGCTTACGTTGTTTCATTTGGGCCCTATAAAACGCACCATTTTAACTTTTACGTTGTTTTAGACCCAGGGCCTGGAGAGAAGGATAAGTGAAAATCTTCAAATCTGTGAGGCAACCTTACGTCCTAGAGTCAAAAAGCACGCACAATAATGACTTCATTCCATGCGCATGCTCGTTCACTCCAGGATTGAAGGTTGCCTCACTCACGCGAGTCTTTCTCTTATTCGTTTCCCAAACAAGAAAAGGCGTTAGACAGCCAGGAGTAGCCATAGTTATCATACATTTGTTTGGTCATCAGGACAAGGAGAAAGTCCAGGAACTCCTACAAGGTCGGTCGCCATTATGAGCATTGGTTAATGGCGTTTCGTCATTTTATTATTCTTCGCTGTACTCACGTACATAGAGTAAGGACTCTAGGACAGCATGGCACAAGAAAAAATAGACCTTTAATCGACAAGTCGTTACTAATGTCTTTTATCCCCTGTATCGCTTGTACTGTTGTAGATGAAATAGCAGAATTATCTCTTGTATGTCTTGCCAATAAATTTATGTTCTGGACATCTTTCTGTCTCGGCAAACAAAAATCGTGTAGATTTGATCGTTAAAAAATCTATTCATGTGTGACATTTATTATGGTATGATGCATTTAGATCTTTGGAAGAAAATGTGAAAAGTCTTATCAGCTATAGGTTGTCAGTGCAATCTCATTAATAGCAACATTAAATGAATGGTTTGACGTTACATTCGGCTTTTATAGTTGATGTACAGATCTTCGAGCCACAGAAACTATGAAATGTTTGATACGCCGACTTAGGAGTCGTTGCAGCCTGGATTTTTCACTTAGTAACTTCACCAATTATGATCCAAACAGCTCGTGACTTTGCCAATGCATACACAAAAGGACTTTGAAGCTTATAACGAATCCATGGTTGGTCAGACATAGATCCAACTGCATGACCAATTCTATCATTTTGATTTGATAAACATAATTGAAACTGCTATAGTACTAATTTTCAATAGCCCAGTGGTCCGCACCGCAAATTGAGGGTTTTGTTTCCTTTTCCGTTTTGATCAGCTGAGTTGGTAGCCGAAAGATAAATGATATATCATAGTGTTTATAGAACAGATAATAGCATTGAAGAAAATTTAAGCAAATGAGCAATGATTTAGAGCTGTAAATTGCTTCTAGCATTATCAAGTTAATTGGAATGCCACTGAAAAATATAACCAGGCGAGAGGGAGGGAAAGGTTTGCCTTTTTAGGATAAACTAACAATTGTTGTCGCCCTACATAGTATGCAAAGGATAGAAATGAGCTTAAGAGATAAAGTAAAAAGTAGGCATAACAACAACTGTCTTTTTGTCGCAGCAGTGTTGAAGAGGGAGTTTTCTTGTCAAGGATGAGACTTCATGATTTTAGGTTAAAAATACAATAACACTCTTGATGAATTAATTTTGAAAGTTTAAAGAGCACATCAGAAACAAGTTGTCATAATATGGATACCTTCTCCGTGCCACACGAGAACGTATTAGCGTGCATCAAAGGATGCTTATGAACAAGAATACTTCTAGCTCACTGAAAAATGTTTTGTCCCGATCATAAACATAAGTAAATTTGAAAAGCAGGCAAAACCACACAAAATCAAACCGTATCTGAAACTAATCATTTTCAATTTTGAATTATTTATATCCAGCCGATTTTTGATGTCATCACTTTTTGTTGCTGTATTTGATAAAAAGGACGTTTGAAAATATCATAGAGAGTTTCAAAACATTACTAAGCTTATTCGTAATAACAAAGTGTAAATAAACCGTAATTGATAATCTCTTAGAAAAATATATAAACATACTTGGGTTGAAGGCCATGACAACAGGCTTTTATTAAAAAATGACTACTTTTCCTATTATGATTAGAAACCTAATACTGGAATAGCAAGATAATTCATGATTACATCAGATTTTGCTGTTTAGCTCTTTGCAATCACAAGCATTGCAAGTTATAAACAATGAATATTGTTCTGTTTGTTTTTCTAGCTTTTCCAGTTTGAAGACTTTGTGAACTATTTCTTTAATACAAGATGTATGGAGGCAGATAAATAGGGTTAATATTCATTATTCTGTAGACATTTCCTTAAAGTAATATGAAAGGATCTTTCCTGCATTCGATTGCCAAAAAGTTTTAGGCCAATTACAGGACTGAGTCTCTTCACTGATTTAAAACGGTTTTTATGTAAATCATAGATGTGAATTCGCTGGCTATCGGAGACTTTGCGATAGCAGTCAGCAAAGCGTAATTTGTATACAAACATTTAGAGGAAGGGAGGAGGGAAGCCTGCTCCTTTGATTATTAGACAGGCTCTACATGGAGACAGCAATAATCCTAGTGACGTTTTCGTAAATTGAAATGGTTTATATTTATCCTTTATTATCCACATATTGGTGTAAAGAATTTCTTGAAAATGCTTTCGGCAAGTAACCTGATATGAAGTAAGTCAAAGCTTTCTGCAGACTTTTCGTTTTACACCTATTT